TTTACTATGAGAGTGGTGAGGTGCTGGCACAGGCTGCCCAGAGAGGTTGTGGATGCCCCGTCCCTGGAGGTGTTCAAGGCCAGGTTGGATGGGGCCCTGGGCAGCCTGGTCTAGTATTAAATGGGGAGGTTGTTGGCCCTGCCTGTGGCAGGGGGGTTGGAGATTCACGATCCTTGAGGTCCCTTCCAACCCGGGCCATTCTGTGATTCTGTAATTTTTAAGTGCTGATATATTTTTACAGCCTTCAGTTTGCTCATGTATGCCCTTCTATTTTGTACCCACCAATTTCCCACTGTCCTGCAGCATCAACCCTTCTGTGACCATCCACATCTGTTGCCATCCTGTCCCAAAGGTAAGGTGATATCCCTTTTCTCTCTTCCTCCTTTCCACAAGACAGATCTGAAAGAAATCCAGCTCTCCCTCTGTGTGTGCGAGGACTTGGCTTTACTGTGGAATTTTTGCTCCTGCAGACCTCCAGCCTTGCCTTCAGGTGACCAAAGCCTGGCACAGCAGATCAGCCTGGACCTCTGTTGAGAAACTTCGCAGAGAGAATGGATTGAGGACATACTCCAGGATGAGCCACAGGATGTCTTCAAGCTACAAGTGCTTTGGGATTGCTGATAGCAGGGACCAGCTGCCTATGGTAAGTATTTGCTGGACTGAGCGGGCTTACACACTTGTTTACTTGCATGGGACTGCACGAAAGGGACCTGTAGGCCTCATGACTGCCCTGACACCAGCATTTCCAGAGAACAGATCACAGAGACCCTGTGCAAAGCCATATCAAAACATCCATCTTCAAGGGAGGGATTTTCCTTTTCCTCTAATTTTGCCCTTCTCCTTCCTCTCCTGTAACATGGAATCTAGGTGACTATTAAAGATAACTAGATTTGGGCCCACAAAGTATTGAGGCTTTCCCATCTACTTGGATTGAAGAACACATCTACTTGGATCTACTTTTGATTCCCATCTACTCAGATGTAGAGTTTTGAGTCTATTTTCCTTGTGAATCTCTGGATTAACAAGGTATGGGAAAACAGAGAAAAAATGCCCCACCTTAAACAACATAAGGTATAAAGCAAACCTTTAAATAGATTCAGCAACATTCTGGAACTAGATTTACTAGTTGTACAGGTTTTGTAGCTTATAAACTGGAATTGATCATTGCTCACTTTTTGCCATCTGTTACTGGAACAGGCTTTGCATTTCTGGGAATGTTTACATTGCAATATATCCACACAATATCTGAAAGCTTCCGTTTCCTGCAGACCTTCCAGGTCTACTAGAAATAAACATTCTTATATTAAAATACATACCAAAGTTGCTGTTTCTCCACGTTGCTCTTCATGTTACCACAATTTCAGATACTGAGATTCCATCTGAATTATGGGCACAGACACACGGTGAAATACAGCTGAGTTATGGCAGCTTAAAGAACTGCTCTTCTGCTTTGCACTTTGTACCTCATCCTAGGAGGATTAAAAATACACCGCTGGCCATTTGTGGATGAGCAGAGAACTTTGAAATTAAATAGCTGTGAGAACAGGGATGACACATACAGCAGATTGGCCAAGTGAGATTGGTGCAGAAAGCAACTCTGGAGGTACCACCACTCAAAGAGCAGGCAGGAACTTGTTCTGTTGCCATTTCACACCATTACCAAATGCCCATAAACATTCTCCACTAACTGTGGCCTCACGTATAGGCATTCTGCCCATACACACATCTGTTTCATTTACTGTCTGCTGGAGTGGTTTGTTTCATGAATAGATTTCCTGCGCTGCTGCTTATCATCGAAGGGTCTCACTTCCTCACAAACATCTAAAGCAAAGATTCATGTTTTGAATTTTTTTTTCTAAGCTTTCAAATTACAGGATGAGTGGCAGAAGAGTGAATACCAACAATTATATTTCTGAAGTGTTCTGCATTCCTTATCTTTGAATACTTACGTTAGAGAGAAAAGTATCACATTGCTTTCACAGACACAGTATTGAAACACCTGAAGTAAAACTTCTTGAAGCTTCCCAGCTGTCTGGCATTTAAAATTCTCCCCTCAGACAGAGACCGCTGTATCCCTAGGCTTTGGCAACCAGAACAATGAAAGTGTTGCCCTGTTTTGTAGCAAACACCCGGGTATAGTTTGGTGTAGTTTAGGCAGTAATGAAAAAGCAATAAACTGACACATTTTTTTTCCGGTTAAAAGCAGGTAAACTGGCTGTCACCCAATTTACACCAACTGCTAATGATGTTTTGTCACAGTGGTGACAAAGCGCCTCAAGGCTTGAATTTTTTATTAGTGAAATTTGCGACCAACTGCTGGTCATACAATAAATGTATTGCAAAGTTAAACTATCCCAAATCCTAGCGAATTTTCACTGTTTTAATAAAATCTGCAGAATTTTTCATTTTGATGCCACCATTAACTGCAGCATTTGGGGCTTAAGGCTTCCTTATTTTCACCTTAAAAACAAGAAATATCCCCTGTAATAGTTTTAGTCATTTATTAACAGATGTTATTTTCTCATGTGCCATCTTAGAGTAACACTTCCTACAGAAATAACTGTATATTATATATTTGGAAAACTAATTCAGAACAGTGTTGTCTCTAACTCCTTCTTGCCCACTCATAGCTCCTTGTCCTTTTTGCTCTATGCTTTCCATTTCTTAAATTTATTTGTTCCATGCTACCACTTAAATTATTTACACACCTACGTTTTAATGTTGCTTTTCATTTGCTAACAACAAGCAGCAACTACTCCTTCAGATTTTACCTTTATAGGACTTGCAGATGAAGACAAAAAATGCCTCTTCTTTGGTGACTGGAACCATTGTTTTCACAGATGTCCTAGCAGAAAGGCCAAAATCAGAACTGACAGGTGCTGATGAGGTTCCCTGCCCACCCAGACCTGCAAACACCCATTAACAAAGCCTGCTGGAAAACGGAATATTAAAAACCCAGCAAGCCCATGATGTGCGGCTCCAGCTGGGCAACGCTCCTAACTAGAAAGCAAGCATCACCAGCACTGTGCTATAGTTCCACACTCCTGCTGTTGCCCTACACTGGAAGTAGAAGAGCTGTCCATTTTCTCAGCAAGGTGATGAGAGCCAGGCACTGACCAAGTTACCCATCAGGAAGGGAATATCCAGGCAGTGGTGTGCGATGCCTTACCTTCAGCACCAGCACAGCTCACAGCAGGAAAAGGTGAACCAAGAGCTCACTCTGGTGGCCTGGTGCCCATGGTAGGGCCATCTGGTGCTACACTGGAGGGGCAAGGAGGCCTCAGTGAGGTCCTACTCATGGTTTTGGCTAAAGCACAGGTCCCGTCAGCTAACAAACCATGTAGAGCCACGCCATTGTTGAAGACAGGCTCTAAAAACTTAGCTAGCTGAAGATGTTCTTTGTATATGTTAAACTGACAAGCAAAGGGCAATTAAACATCCCTAAACAGATTAACATCCTTCAACCAAGGACATCCTGGAGCAAGTAGGCCTTGAGGAAGACATTACTCAGGATGTTTTAGGAGCATTGCCAATTCAGCAAGAAAACTGGAAAACTAAGAGACTTTTAATTGAAATACCATCATTACAATCACTCCCACAGACCCTTTTATTTTGTTATTTGCCCCTTGACATGCATAGTTGCAAAAGGATTGTTAGCGATATTATAACTGTATGTAACTTACTGACCAGTCATCATGAAGAAGATGGAAAAACTAGTGACTTTTCAAGCTTCGTGTATAAATACAGCATGGATAGTCCTGTTTGATTTGTAGGGAACTACTCAGCACCCAAATCAGCACAAATCTGAACTAAATAAGCAGTGTCTCTCCTGAGTGTGTGATTACTGACTTATTGTTATGCATCTGCTTCTTGGATAACACTATCACCAGGTAAAACCCCTTACTTGTATATTGTTTTCTGAGTTGGGTTCAACCAAGAAAAAAAAAAAGGTTTTGAGATTTGGGGCGAAATTGTTTCTCAGATGGACTTCTGTATGGCACAAGCCTTGCCTTCAATCCTGCAAGCAAGTTATTTTCTTTCTCCAGATAATAACTTCTAGCACCCTGTCTAATGCAGTATGACTGAATTACAGAACCACAGAATCACAGAGGTTGGAAAAGACCTCTAAGATCACCTAGATCAACCACTGACCCACCCCCACCATGCCCACTGCCCACATCCCTCAGTGCCACATCCACACGGCTCCTGAACACCTCCAGGGACGGTGACTGCACCACCTCCCAGGGCAGCCTGTGCCACTGCCTCACTGCTACTCCTGAGAACAAATATTTCCTAATATCAACCTGAATCTCCCCAGCAAAACCTGAGGTCACTCCCTCTTGTCCTGTTCCTGCTACCTGGCAGGCCAACCCCACCTCATCACAGCCTCCTTTCAGGTGGTTGTGGGGAGTGATGAGGTTCCCCTCAGCCTCCTCTTGCCCAGACTGAACAGTTGAGCTGTTGGAGGCTTTTCTAGATTAGAGGTACAGCTGTATTTTACAAGCTCAAAAGGAAGTTTGTTTCATAGTCCTCTCCTGCCCTCAAGAGCAGACGTGGCCCTCAGAGCATCGGGCCCTCTGCTGCCCCTGCCAAGGACACATGAGACTTCCATATCGCCAGGACCGAGCCCCATTGCCAGCAGGACCCCACAGCCCCCTCAGAAAATGGTGGCGGCAACTGTCACCATCCACGGGAACGCCTGATGACCGGGGCAAGGCTAGCTTAAGGTCAGATTGTCAGCCCAGGAAAACCACCTACACTTTCCCCCATGTGTGAACGAATAGCCCGGAGCAGCAGGGCGCGGCGCAGGGCCGTGCCAAGGCGGGGCATCGCGGACAGCTGGCCTCTCCCCTGCCCGTTCCGGCACTCTGCTGACGGCCCGGTGAGACGGGGATCAGTGCCTGCGGTCAGAGGAGAACGGAGGAGAGGGGAGGAGGAGGAGGAGGAGGAACAGCAGCAGCAGCGGAGGACGGCGGCGGGCAGGGGGTGGGCGGCCCATCCCCGTGCCAGCGATGTGGCAGAGGCGGCACTGTGAGTAGCAGTCCCTCAGCGTTCCTCTGTCTGGTTCTCCCAGAGCGCAGCTTTCCCCGGCTGTCAGCCGCCTGCGGTACGAGCCTCTGGGAAGCATCATACTGCGAATCCACGCCGGATTAGTTGTTTGTTTTTTTTTTTCTTTCGATCAGCAGAATTTAATCCAAGCCTCCAGGTGCCTTTTTTTTTTCTCCCCTTGAATGCCGGCCTTGGAGCAGCGGGTATGTGTTGTCGAGGCGTGGCAGTGCGAGTGTTTCAAGTCAGCTAAGCACAAACAGAGGTGTGCTGTGCTTACGCTGCTGCCAAGGTACGAGTGAGCACCTGAGCAGAAAGGAACCGGAGATGTTGGAAAATGGGACAGGTGTTTTCCGAGGTCTTCCCGACGTGCCCTTCTCCACCACCACTTCATCTTTCCACGTGTTTTCATCCTCCTATGCCTCTCTGCCCCTTCAGCTCAGTATCTGCCTGTCACAGGCCAAGCGCCTCTCTGTGGCATGCGGTTCCCTCACACCTCTGAGTGCTGCAGCCATGCTGAACCACAACCTTTCAGCTCAGCGTGAGCGCAGCCTTGCTTCTGTGAATGTAGACCCAGCTTCTCATTTTATGAGTGCTGCTTGTAGCAAGTCTTAAGTTCTCTTCAGTTTGAGTGTATGGTTTAGCTGCTATGGGTTTTTATGCATTTCTGTGTGGGGAATTTATAATATGCGTGGTATATGTGTCTTCAGTAAGTGAAGACCCAGTGGACTCCACTGATGCCTTCAGTGCAGTCCCCCACTGGCTTCTGAATCCCCAGAGGCAAAGCCAGAAGTTCACTGGCAATGTTCTACAACAGTTTTCTGGACTCCATCCCTCCATCACTCAAGGCCAGGGCAGCCTGAGCTGGTGGGAGGCAGCCCTGCCCATGGCAGGGGTTGGGGCGGGTGGGCTTTGAGCTCCCTGCCAGCCCAAACCATTCTGTGATTCTGTGAATTCCCTTTGCCTAAGATTGCAAATGTTGCAAATGGCAAAATGTGTTCTCTCTCTGAAGATTCCCTTTATATAACTTTCCCTGTCATAATCCTTTAACTCTTAAATACAGTGGCACAGAACATCTTAAGAGCTTGAAAAGATGATGTACTGTCCTTATTGTTTGTTTTTATTTATAAAAAAGATGAGAAACTGTATAAATAAAACTTCAAATGTTCATAATGATCTGCATTGCCCCTCACTGAGATACGAAGGTTGAAGTACAACTGTAGCTCAGATGTTAAGCTGACACCTCTGACTCAGAGGATTTCCTAGTTCTGTTGCTGTTATGGAGAATAGGGTGTGTTTGTGATTCTTCTTCGTAATATTCGGAGTTAGTGTTACAACTATTTTCTGTTGAGTTTTGTTATTTTTGTGTGTGTGTTTTGGTGGAGTTTTTTTAGGTACAATACAAGAACAGTGTCATGCAGTAGTTGATACAGAGGCTAGAGAAGTCAAAGCTTTGTACGAGAGAAGATCTCTTTGTGTAGTATTATAAACTGAACTTGAGGCAGTAAATTCTACTCTTAAGATAAATGTCAAAACTTCCTTTTGGCGTGAATAAACGTAAGCAGAGCCTCCAGAATGGGCACATTGTACTATCATGTCCATTCTGCACTAACAGATGCAGACAAGTCAGGCAGTCAGTGTGAAAGAGGTAAGACTTGCAAAGCAAGACTTGAGGAGAACGAGTGAAGAATATGACCTTATTCTACAGAGGGGATAAGCAGAGAAGGGACAGAAGTCTTAACGGTTGTAAAAGCCAGGGTTTCCCAATTCCACTGTGATATTTCACTGTTTAACATCATAACTCAGGTAATGTATCCCTTCTAAATAAGGAATGTGTCTTCAGTGTGCTCATCCTGATGGACCCTGCCTCCTGGGATTGGCAGGTTCACTAGCCCGGCTCAGGGATCACCAAGACCCATCAGTGATGTCTGTCACTTGGTCTCTGCACAGCTGAGCCTGCAAAGGGGAGTTTTTGAGCCCTCCTTGGCTGTGCCAGTCAGTGTGAGGGGAAAGCATGGTGAAAATGGATGATTGTGCTGCAACAGCATAGCCCAGCCTGCGCTGCAGCCGGCCACTGCCCCATGTGACATGGTGGTGGCTTTGCCCCACTGAGAGGCCCAGCCTGGCCCCAGACACACATCCATCACTCAAAACAGCCTCACAGCAATGTGCGATCCACACTGCTGGGGCCAAAACCAGGGCATGGGGAGGGTGCAATCTGTGCTAACAGATTATGGGAAATAATTATATGCATTTTGATACGTTGGCTAAACACAGTCCTGTGAAAAGTGAAAAATACACAGCTTTGCTGTCCATTTCAATAAATTTGAGAACAGATTTTAAGACTGCCAAGAACCAGACTGATGTGTTATTTTCACTAAAGGTCATTAGTTTAGAATTAGTTTTATTACTTATATATATTATGTATTTTATATGTGGCCCAAGACAATTCCTCTTCACTTGGTGTGATGCAAGTAGTCCGAAAAGGTTGCACACCTGTGGTTTAAACCATTATTTTAGTGTCTGCGCATAACACAAAAACAGCAGTAATTGTATGCAACCTATGTAGTCATGTATGATATCTGGTACTAATTTTTGAATTGAATTTCATGTCTCCTTGCAGTATCATAACTATGGGTTGAGGGGATGTGGTGCAGAGCAGGGGGTGAGTTTTCTTCTCAAAGATGAAGTTTTCAAGATGAAAGAAATTGTGAGAGATGAGTGTGCAACCAGTGCTCTGTCACCATATCACCAAAGGCAAGGTTAACACAGTGGTAGAAAAAAATAGCCGTTTTTGTAGCAGTGCCAGAGAAAATACTTTTGTGTGTGTGTGTGTTGCTATGGGTACATCTTTATATCTGTGTTTTTCTTCTTGGCAGATTTTGTGAAGTTATCAGGGCTCTTGTTGGCATCATCGTTTGCTTGGTACTTGGGATACTTATTTGCTGCTCATTTATCACAAGAGACACTGTCGACATCTATAGCTTATCTTCAAGACATTGGAAAGAAACCAGTGTTGAGGGGTATGTAGTTGTATTTTTTTTTCCTTTTATCTGATGTTCTCTATTTACTTGTTAAATTAAAAAGGGCTTACAATCATAAAATCACTAAGATCACCCAGTCCAACCACCAGCCCACCCCCACCATGCCCACGTCCCTCAGTGCCACATCCACACAGCTCTTGAACACCTCCAGGGACAGTGACTGCACCACCACCCTGAGCAGCCTGTGCCACTGCAGCACTCCTCCTTCTAAGAATAAATTTTTCCAAATATCTGACCTAAACGTGCCCTGGTGTAACTTAAGGCCATTACCTTTTGTCCTCTTGTTACCTAACAAGCTATTATAAGAATGATGTTGTTTGGATGTTGTTAGGACCAGAGGGAATGGTTTCAAGCTACGGCAGGGGAGATTCAGGCTGGACATGAGGAAGTATTACTTTTCAGAAAGGGTGGTCAGGCACTGGAATGGACTGCCCAGGGAGGTGGTGGAGTCACCGAGCCTGGGGGTGTTCAAGGAAAGGCTGGATGTTGTGTTGAGGGACATGGTTTAGTGGGAGCTATTGGGAATAGGTGAACGGTTGGACTGGGTGATCTTTTAGGTCTTTTCCAACCTTGGTGATTCTATGATTCTATGGATAAAGTGAATTCATTTAATTGGTGTAAATCTGGACGACTACTTATGCACTATTCTGAAGAAACATAATGTCATTTGACATTTGCCAGAATGCAAATATTAATAATTGACTAGTAATCTAATAACACCTTATTTGTTTGTTAGCATGTAAGCATAAGCAATCTGCAAAGCTGCTGCTGAAGCTTTGACTATATCTTAGGTGTTTTTTAGAGTTTCCATAACTGGTGGAATCGCTAGCCAAAGTTTGTGATGTGGTTCTCTTTTTTTTTTTTTTCTTCTGATCTGATGGACTTAATGTTTTTTTCATTCTGTGACTGTTATTGTGTGAAAAATGTTTAGAATTGTGACAGTCAGCTTCAAGCTATCTGTAGGAATTCTTTATCCATATAGCCTTTGTTTACCTTTAATAGAAATAGTACAAAATAGCATGATCTGATTTGAATCGAGAGTATATGGAATTATTTTCTCTAGGCAAGTTAGCTCTTCTTCCCAGCAGTGTTTTGAAAGCCTACAATAACCCAAAACTCAAGCAAATCTGTGAGAATGTTGCCACAATACTGGAAAACTGACAGTGTTGGCCTCTGTGTATATAAGTGTGAGCTTAAATATTAGCGTGTTGACGCTAAGTGATTCTTTCCATGTAGAAATTGCTTATGTAGCACTCAGGAAGACTTCCTCATCTTTGCTGTTGTAGCCCCACTCCCCAGAAGGCAGAAGTGTGATCACTGGTCTCCCTGCTCACCAGGGAGCTATGCCTATCGGATTCTTAGTGGCGGTGGCAAAGAAAAGCTGGCTAAAATCTGTTTTGAGGATGAGCTGTAAGTACCAGACTGACTTTTAATATATGTCAATACTTTGTAGTATAAAGAAGGATCTTTCATTTTGGTTCACTAGCAAGTAAGCTCCTAGGGAAAGAAAAGACCTCTTCAGTAAAATTACATGCAGAAAAAGGTCACCGTATATTCCCTTTTCAGTTAATAAGTATGCCCTAGGTCTCTTAGGAACAAGTGAGTTTTTCCTCCTGTTCCTATTTTCCTTTTTATGGCACTCCTTCTGCAGCATGATTTGAATTCCATCTTAAATACAAATTCTTCTCTGCTTCATTCTGGTGAGCTTTATGGTGATGATTCAAACCGAGACAATTCATTTCCATGGAACTCTGGCCTAAAGTAGAGACTTAACAGCACTGAAGAGCTAAAGATAACGTGGAGATAGTGACTTTGAATATATGCTTATAAATGTGTTTTTTAAAGTTGTTTTAAATTTTTCTCCTCTTCTTGTGTGTTCTGCCTTTGGGTAGCACATCGCTGCCATGTGGGTCTGTACTGTTTTTGCTGAAGGTTGTATTTTCCTTTCACAGACACTGTAGTTTCTATGTAGTATACTTGCCTTTGCTCAGTATCTGGTCTGTTTGATTGGCTTTCTCTCATATCCTGGGCTGACTCAACTTTTTTATTGATAGGTAGATGTAGGTTTTGAGAAGCATGTCGTCTGAGTCATTTAAACCTAGATCAAAAGACTTGTAAATTGTTGATGCTTTATTGGTGGTAAACATCAGCATATATCTGATAATATTTAACTTTTTTTTTTTTTTTAAATACATACATCTCAGGTTATTGTCTTTATTCCTGTCGATAAGCTGTTTTCAGCTGTTGGTTTCAATTATGATTTTTAGTTTTGGTCACTCAGGACATATATTGAGTAGTCAGCACCTTCTGAAAGTCAGGTTTGTTCCTCCTTTTTCAGACCGGACAAGTAAAGTGACTTTAAATCCTTAAAGTGATGTTTGAAGTAGATACAGCCACATGGCTTGCTATCATAAAAATGAACCCACACATTTGTTATGTTTTTCTTTTTTATCTTTCTGGATGGATTTGTACAAAGCACTTTCTCGATCTGGTTCATTTTGCAGAACTCATTAAGTATCTTTGAAGGAAATGGACTGGTATAACATGCAAGACTTTAAAGCCAAAGCTCTTGCTTACTACTAGCTCTTGAATTAGATAAATGAGAAAGTTTGAACACCAGGAAATGGCTTAGCATTGGTAAATCTGAATCAGAGTCTCTGGAAGGATGAAATCTACTGATACAGCACTTCTTTTCAATTCCAGGCTTATAAGTGAAGAAAAGGGTAATGCTGGAAGAGGTATAAACATAGCCATTGTCAATTGTAAGTAAGATTAAAGATGTTAGAGGCATACCTTTGTGATGATTAAAAAAACAAATGTTTGGGGTGTTTTTAGTAGCTAGTATGGAAGCAAAGGAGAAATTGCAACTTGATTCATGTTAAATGTAAGAAGGACAAATTACTGCTTGAGAGAAATAGTCTTCTGGATAAATGAAAGAAACATGTCCATAATCAGTATAAGCAAATAAAAAGATATACAGTAACTGAGAATTGCAGTTCTACATGAGGTACAATTTCCTTTTCTAGAATTGGTCAGTGGACAGAAAAACAAACTCGAAGCTTGATTAATATTAAAGTGCTTGTAATAGTAGCTGTTGGAAAGCTGATGCTGTAGTTTGTTCCAGGTCTCATGCACCACTTTAACTTAGATAAATAGGTATGGTGGTGAAATGCAATGCATTCAATGATGGATCCTTAGAAAAATGATTGCTAAATATCGTGGGGGAGTGGAAGCAAGGGATGCACTGAAAAGTTGGTTTTGATCACAGAACGTTTTTGTTCCAGTTTCCTTGTCTCATTATTGTTAAACAAGGTTTTAGCCTTGTCTAAACCTTCATGATTTTATTTGAGTTGCTGGGCTCAATTAACGTAGACAAGAATCTGAAACACTGCACAGAATGGAGCCATTCAAATACAATCAGGCTTAATCAATTTCTATGTGTATGGTTGTGACCTAATGTAGTATATGTACGTATGTGCACAGTAAACTGAATTTCTTCCTTAAAACAAAAATAATGATGGTTTTGTCATCAGTGATGTTCAGATTCAGGCTTTTGTTTAAAGAAGAATTTGTTTATTTCCAGTGTGATTTCTCTCTGACAGTTTGCAGGTCTGTGTTGTAACAGAAGTGATTTGAGAACAATTTTTTCAGCTGACTGCAGCTACAAGCAGTGACTACACAAAATGTTTTCCCTGAATCTCAAATTTCCATTATTCTATATTTCTTCCAATTTGAAAATGCAAATGAAAAATTGGAAGCACAATAATACCAGAACTTAGAGATGCCTCACTTTTGCTGAAAATGATGTGCATGCTGATAAATGTAACCATTTTTGCTCATATTTGTACTTTCAATCTTTTCTTACAGATGAAACAGGAGCACTAACATCAGCCAATTTCTTTGACATGTGGGAAGGAGGTAGGGAAAAGAGTGCAACAAAGCTTTTGTTAACATCTCAGTGTTCAATAAAAGCATATTAAAATATTTGTCCTAGTCTTTAAGTGACTGTGCTTCTTCATTGAAGAAGATCACTTAGAAACAAACAGCAGCTGTAGTCATTTAAACATAGCCAGATCAATAGCCAGATCTTCTGACAACAACTTTTCCTGAAAAGATGTGGGGCTTTTTTTTCTGTTGGTTGAGTTAGTTAATGTTTGTTGTGATTAGTTGCTATTTTCTTTCTCCGTTATTTCAGTCTGGCAAAGGACAGCACTTACCAGATACTGCATCTATTCAGCAAAATCTTTTTTCTGATACATTTTGTTCTATTCTTTTCTACTTGCAAAATCATAATAAGTAATAAGCTAGTCTTTCTACACTACTATGTAGCTAAACAGAAGATCTACTTTAAGAATAGCTTCTAATACATTTTCCAGACTTAGGATGGTACCTTACCTTACTTCCTACTAAGAAGAAACAGAACGCTATGAGGCACTTGCAGCCAATTCTTTCACCACTTAAGAATGTTTATGACCTTGCATGCATGAACAGAAATCACACTGGGTCTAATCATGGGGCTTCAGATTTTTATATGATGTATGGACTGCAATGTCTCCAAGGCTACTGCCACACAATACACTTACTTTCTATAGAAAATAATGTATGCCTTATAAATAGATATCTTAGTGCTGCAAATAGACTGCCACTTAATGCAAATGGATGTACAGTGGGGTGTGTACTTAGATATACAGTTGGCATGGTATTTAGCACACAAAAATAAAGGCACAGAGTATCAGTGACTTCTGAACTATTCCATGTTTTGCTTGCTGGTGGAGTGTTATGCAGGGTAAAATCTCAGCTTATGTGTAAATGTTATCTGTTTTCAGAGGTTCAGAAGTATCTTTCTTTACAGCTGGGAATTATAGATCGACCTTTGTTCTGGTCTTCAGTGAGAGCTGGCAGCTTTCTGCATCTTCAAGGATTAGGCAAGTCCTGTGCCGGTGCATGGAAAGATTGCCTAAATAGGTCTCATTTTGAGTAGGCAAGGTCAAAAAGTGAGGAGAAGTTGAATGTAAGGGAAAGTAGGTGGAATGTGATCGTGTGTGAGGGAGTAACCAGTTGTGTAATTAATTCAACAGACCACTCAGAAGAGATGGTGGCTTTCATTGAAAGTGCACCACAAGGGTCCCTGCTTTTCATGGTTACTCATGATGATGGAAGCGCCCGGTAAGGAAACTATTCATGACAGGCTGAGAAACACAGCAACAAATAGCCTGGCAGTCACTGTTGTACAGTGGTTTAAAGGAGTGTTTCATTTCATTGTATAGTCATTTCCTCTCTTAAAAGTTTGGATTATATATACATTCAGTGCTTGCTCATGTCATATATGTTGATGCTTCCAAAGATGGAAGGAGAGCATCATGCTTGTCTAAAAGCACCAATTATCATCATAAAGGGCAGTGTTATTATCTCTGCATCACAACCTTTTATTAAAAAGGTATCCACAGCTCTAATTAGAACATACCTAGCTTGCATTCCTTCTTACATCTTAACCTGATTCTTCAAGTCCTTTCAAATCTTATGATTGAAGTCATGATACCATAATTAAACAGGGACAGTGTTAATCATTTGGCTGATAAACATTTGAAGCTTTTGTCCACATTTAAAAAGGAATAAAAAGTCAAATTTTACAAATTCAGTGTTTGAGACGTATTTCTTTCTGCTGCATTGTTACAAACAGATGGTATTGACATCAGGGATGTAGAGAAGAGGAATTCAAAGATATAATTTTGGTCTGTAGGTTTAATGGCATGCTAGTAAGACAGCACTCGGGAAGTTTTTAACTTCTAATTGTTTCTTGTGCCAACCTACTAATGTAAACCATAGAATTATAGACTCATCTAGATTGGAAAAGACCCTTAAGATCATTAAGTCCAACCATCAACCTGACCTCGTGAATCTTATCATTAAACTGTGTCCCTTTGTGCCACATCCACATATCCCTTAAATGCTTCCAGAGATAGGGACTGCACCACTTCCCTAGTCAGCCTGCTCCGCCCTCTCTGTGAAAAATTGCTTGACCACCCTCTCTGTGAAAAATTTCTTCCTGATGTACAACCCAAGTGTCCTCCGATAAAAACTTTGAGGCCATTTCCTTGTGTCCTATTGCTCGTGAACTGAGGGGAAAGACCAGCACCCACCTCACAGCAATCTCCTTTCAGTTACTTGTAGAGAGCAATGTGGTAAACAATCCCAGTTCCACCAGCCACTCCTCACTATAAAGCCAAAGTGTTCTTTTTCAGCTTTTTTTTTCATATTATTATTATTTTTTATTTTTTTATTTTTAGGTTGAAAAGTAATGCCAAAAAGTTAGTAGAAGCTCTGGGAAGTAAAGAAATACAAAATATGAAGTTCAGGTCAAGCTGGGCTTTTATAGCTGCCAAAGGCTTCAAGCTTCCAGATGATATCGAAAGAGAAAAGGTCAGGATCATTTTATTTTCAATTTTATTTGTCTCTGTCTCAGATGTAAACTTTAGGTGCAGATCTTGTGGGGTATCTGTAGTAACTTCAGGATCAGCCTCAGTTGTTCAAAGCAAATTCTCTAATGTGTCATTATTCTTTGCTTTAGATCTGAGACTTTGAATCTTTGGATTTCTTAGGCAGAGTGTAAGAGAAATCGGTGGAATCTTCACCCATTATGTTGAATAAGATGTCTAACATACCCCTCAGCTTCCGTTTCTCTTTTATGTTGTATAAGGTTTGACAAACTAATTTGGTAAACGCAAATACTGATTCATTTTATTTTGTTTTATTTTTAACAGATAAACCACTCTGACAGTAAGAAGAATAGATACGGTGGCTGGCCAGCTGAAATACAGATAGAGGGCTGTATCCCAAGAAACCTGATGTAAACAAATCCATACCTCCTTAGCAAAGATTCTTCTATATTTTTAAACATGTAACTCTGGTAGTTTGCGTCCAGAGCCCAATAAGCACCTGAACAGCATTTGTAAAATAAGTCATATATACAGTTTTTACTCTTGCTTTCATTTGTGAGGTTTTTCTCTAATCTGAAAACAAATAGATCTTTTGATGCAAGTGGTAAGAAAATGCTCTGGTTTGAAATTACAGTACTTAGACAGTTGGTTGTAAAATACCAGGGTTATTGAAAGTGATTGTACATTGTCATCAGTGACTTGTTAGTTACTTGTTTTTAACGTGTGTTTCCTTTTGGTTCCCCTTATAAACTAACATAAAACTTAGTCTAACCTATAATATAAAATAAAATACAAATACAATATAATATAATATAAAATAAATTATTTGGTACTAATTTATTGGTAACTTCTCTTCAGAAGAAGCCACTATGTTTTTTGAGCTGGTTTTGGTAATGTTAACAGTCTGGAATAACGTTGTTAATGTGTGGGAATGGGATGTTGTTTCTGCATTAGATATTAAAAAGGGCAATTGGTTTGAAGAAGTAGAACACAATGTATTTGTATTCTGTAACTTATCCTTAGATCGAAAAATTAGAAATACTGTGTACGTTAGCAGCATCTTTTGGAGACCTAATTACTGAATTATGTGATTAATTATTTCTTGCAAAACTGCAAGAAGTTGTTAAATGTTCCAAACAATGTGGTGTAGTGTTAGGGATTAGAAAACACACTGTAGGGTTGTTCTGTTAGGATAAGAAACTCCCAGCAAAAGAAAAATAGATTTAACAAACATCAAAGAAGGTAGGGCCTCTACACCAGGCCGGACTGTCTCACTCCGTGAGAAGCTTGGGATGTGACAGGCAGGTATCAAGATACTCCCCTCTGTCCTCCTTCCGAGCTTATCTCTATGCAAGGGTGGACGAGCAGATATCCAGAAACAATGACCAAACATAATGACCAAAGGGTCAGAAGTTAATTAGTTAATTAATTAAAAGTTTATGCTTAGCCAGCGAAGATTTATGTTTGTCCACTGTTTGTATGTTTAGTGAAGCGTCGAGAAGGTTGTGAACATAAAGTACTCAGCCAGTGAGGAACTAGGGGAGAAAGAGATAAGCGTCGGGCAATAAGGCATAAAAGATGCAACACTGTTTTCTGTGTGCTCTCCTGCTTGCAGGAGGCCCGCCATTGCAATTGCAAATAAAAGCTGCTTTATCAGAGATACCATCCTGATAAATTATTTGGATATTTCCAACAGTGGGGAGGGGTCGTCTGGGATAATTATCACCTCCCAGGGGTCTCCCCCACTGTCCTGAACAGGATAGGTGCACCCCGCTGATTTTAGCAGTCCTGTCTGGGTGGTGGGGTGACACCTTGGGACAGCCGATAAGAAACCGAGGCTGTTACATAAAGGACAGGCTCTGACAAAGCCAAGAAGCAGGTAGGCACGGGCATTGGCCTTTGCGACCTGATAACTTTGTGCATGGCCAAGGTAAGGGAATTTAATTCTTGCCTTGGGGGTCGGTGGAGACTCTTGAGTGTGTGCAACTGAGGTGCAAATTCAGTGCAAAGCGAGTGCAGAGTCCCGATCTGCGGTTCCATTGTCCTGCGAGGGGCACGACCAGAGACAGATGAAGCAGCTGTGATGGTGAAAGGAAGAGTCTCGGGAGGGAGCTGTTGGTGTGCGGTGCCCTGTGTATGGGAACTGCTGAGTCACGGCCTGAACCTCTGATTGATCACCTGAGGCGAGCACTGAGTCAGCCAGGGGAGCACAGCTGAAGGCAATTCACCTGTGCTGCAGGAAGGGGTGGAACCTGGCTGCACCTCTCCTAGACCCATTTAAGAGCTGCCTACCAGTGGGGAAGGATCTCTTCTGGAGAGTGTCGCAGCAAGCCCAGGATACGGGTAAGTTTTCTATCTGTTCTCTTTTGATATAATACTTGCTTAGCCAAACTCTCTGGTATATTTCATAGCTATAGCATCTATACATTCAACTGATTATACAGCACTTGATGAAGTGCCAGCAGTACACCCCTATTAATCCGAGAGATAGGAGCGTAGTACTCCAAAGGGATTGGGCCCAAAATCCGAAAATCAGGGTGTGATAATCTGTGAGCTGGTAGTTCACAGTAGCTTTCTGGAGGGATGGGTAATAGGAGCTCCCGAAAACAGGGGAAAAGGGTCCCCAGAATGGTGCCTAGAGATAGCCCCTTGGGAAAGAAGCTTCAGAATTGGAAAAATAGCCCCTAAGCTAGAGATGAGAACAGGAAAAGATGTTTAAATACTGTGTACAGACACAGCCTAGAGAGCACTACATGGAAAAACATTTCGACCAAAATGTGAGTCTGACAGAGATCGGCTTTTGTCAGACTTTGAATTTGTATGTAAACAATAAGACTCCTTTCTCTGAAACAGAATTGGCCGTTTAAAGGGAGCAAAAACAAAACAAAACGTAAAATAGTTCCTCCCAAGAAAGAGTCAAAGTTCAAAAGAGAAAGGAGAGAAGCAGAAAGATCATAAATGGGATCCCTTAGATAACTACCCCACCCCCCCAAAAAAAAAAAAAAAAAAAAAAAAGAGTACTTACATACTTGTTTCAGTATTTTTCTACATCTAAATCATACTTCTTTTGCTTGTTCATCCTACACGTTTTGTAGGTCACAGGGTTCATTTTGGTGTGACGGTAAATGCATGTGAACTGTCGTGCCACATCCTAAATTTGTCCTCATTCTTGAAATGTAGGAATTTGAATGGAAAACTCAAGGTCTGCTAGCAGTCACTGGCTACTTAACACTAAAGAAAAGTTATTTATACCTCCTTCAGTTAAAAAAAAAATAAAAATAAAAATAAAGGAGAGAGTTCACAGGCATCTGTTGTGACGAAGTTGGCCACAGCTGTCTGGAGTTCTGGGAGATACTTCAGAGCTTATTCCTTGGGAGATTTGAAGCAGTACTCTGTGTAGGCTCCTTAGGTGTGTTATAGTACTGTGACTAAATCACCCCTCACTTGTGCTGCTGTTAAAGGGATCTAACCGCTTGTTCTTCAGCACTCCTATCAGACAGATCAGTGCTAAGACATAAGGCTTCTATATGTTTATTTTCTTAAGTGTACAGCTTTACATGATCACTATTTTATTTGGGCAGTGTTCACGTTACTGGCTCAACAGTTATTCCTTTAAATTTGTTGCCTGCTTGAATTGCAAAAAAACCAACATAATTAATTACAGTAATAATAGCAGGCAAATCTGAGGATGCCAGGCTCTGTGGCAGTCATGGGACTCTGCAGTTTGACACTCACTACCTTCTACTCCAGCCTACAATTGATCTTGCGTCAGTTACAATTAAATTTTACATCATATCATAATCATAGAATCATCAAATGGCCTGTGTTGAAACGGACCATAATGATCATCTAGTTTTAACCCCTCTGTTGTGTGCAGGGTCGCCAACCAGCAGACCAGGCTGCCCAGAGCCACATCCAGCCTGGCCTTGAACATCTCCAGGGATGGGGCATCCACAGCCTCCTTGGGCAACCTGTTCCAGTGCCTCACCACCCTTTGTGTGGAAAAACTTCCTCCTCATATCTAACCTAAATCTTCCCTGTCTCAGTTTAAAACCATTCCCCCTTGTCCTATCACTATGCACCCTCATAAAGAGCTGTTCCCCCTCCTGTTTATATACTCCCTTCAAGTACTGGCAGTCCACAAAGAGGTCTCCCTGGAGCCTTCTCTTCTCCAAGCTAAACAAGCCTGGTTCCCTCAACCTTTCTTCATAGGAGAGGTGCTCCAGCCCTCTGATCCACTGGCCCTCCTTTGGACCTGTTCCAAGAGCTCTGCGTGTTTCTTGTGCTGAGGGCCCCAGGCCAACATCAGTTTCTTTTTAGCAGTTAACACAAGTGTACTGCTGCTACGCCTTGGAGGTAAAAAGCAAAGTAGGGCTGTAGCTCTGGCATTACCAAGCCTCAGCAGCATCTTGCCTTACTGCTCCTGCAATTGCTTGCAAACCTTAACAACGCCAAAGAAGTCCTTGCTTAATGCTGAGGTGAGGATATTACCCAGTTGCCCAAGCAGCCTTTCTTTGATAGAATGCTCTGGACATTTAGTTTTGTATGCCTGTCAGTGGATAACTGTTCTGATGTATCAGGAACAGGAACACCAATTCCAAGTACAATATTTTGCATTGTTATCATTCTTTCCATTACATCAGATCACACAGATACTGTTCATAGGTTTGTGTGGGGAACGTATCAGGACATATTTTGTCCAGAGTGCTTATGATTGCTTCCTATTAACTGGGAGTATTTTGTGTGCCTCACCTAACCATTCCCAAAGAAGCTTTTGGTACCTTTCTTTCTGCAAAGAGGTTGGTTTGTCTGCCAGTCCCCATGAAGCAAGTTCACGGTGCTCCATTCTCTATGAATGGGCAATAGTAAAAGTCACGTGCTGGTGGTCTGAATCAAATCTCAGCTACCGAGAGCCCTTTGCAGCATGAGTCACCACACAGTGTTCTTCAGCTTCACTGGGTTTTTGCTTTCTCAGAGATGCAGCTGAATCATCCAGACATAGAGACTTCTAATAAGATGCGGTGTTGGACTGTCAGTTTTGTTTTCTTCTGTTCGTGGCACAGTGCTTAAACACGGTAGGTGGAGGAGACTTGGGTGCTTTGTGATGAGCAGAGGATGGGATGTCCTCACCAAGAAATGGGGTTAAGTCCTCCAGAGGAACTGCTCTTCTTCTGAAGCAGAGAACGCCGGCTGAATGGGAAAGTATCACCTGTAGCCTGCAGTGCTGCTCAGGGCTTGACGTGGTATTTTCAAAAGCAAAGCAACACAGCAAGTGGAAGCAGTGGCTGTGCTTATCCTGTGTCTGCCTGCATGTGACCGAGCTGCTGCCCTGGCTGGCTGCTGGCACCCCACACCTGCAGCTGAGACAGAGCCAACAGGTCCACATCAACCATTTCTTCCAGCAGCACATGGCTGTTAGCATTCTTCATGGGAAGCATCCAGATAGGCCCTCCTGTCCCCTCCCCACTCAGGTAGACACTTCAGATAGAAGCAGTTAGAAAAATAGCTACCGTTCCCTTTACCCTTCAGTGGAAGCATGATACAAGCAGTCCCATAAGGAACAGAGTGCCAGGACAGAAACCCTTCTTTATCTCTCCATTTAAGAGAATGAAAAGTGTTTCAGGCCCTGATGGATCTCTTGCAATCCAGCTAGAAGGCAGAGACAGAAATACCAATCAAAGAATAGGTATCTTTTCCGTTTCTCACTGGCAACCGTTGCTTCTGGTTGTTGGCCTAACACTATCTATCCCCAGGTGGGAAATTTCTCAAATGTTCAGAAGGAAGATACAAGAAAGTGGAAGTTGTTCAGCAAAAGATGCCCTTCTGTAGACAGTTTGTGCTGAAAGCAAAACTCCCGCTAACTGAGAGCAAAGAGGAGCTGACACACTTGATGCCTGCTGGGAAATAATATAGGAGTGGTGTGTCTCTAATCTCTTCTTAGCTGCTGGTGAATTGCCAGGCAGTAGCTTGAATTCAAGGCATTAAAATGGGTGTCTTAATGATGTCTAAGCAACAGTGATTCCTCACTGCCAGAAAATGAAAAGTTTTGGTTTCACTTTTCTGCTGTGGATGTTTTGTGGTGGTGGTGGCTGTGGTTTTTACCCCAGAGCAATTATTGAGCAGCATAGGAAATGTAGAGTCAAATACAAACTTTACATTAGCAGCTCTGATATGATTTTTCTGCCTGTTCCAAAGAGCATAGAGATAGATGCTTTGGGCTTGCCCAGTCTCTATTGTGGTTCTCGTTAAAAATAGGTAGATACAGCCTAGAGATTGGGACAGTGTTGCTTGGAGGTGAAGTTAAACATCTCTGCTTGTGTTTTGCTGAGCCCAAAAACTGCTGTACAGCAGATTGTATGGTAAGGCTTGGATAAGATATTGGTGGAAGCTGGTCACTGTTTCATTATTCTTACTGTAGTTTTAAGAGTATATGGTACTTCTAGAGAACGCAAGTGTGAGTTTCACAATGCAGATGTTCACACTGTGATTAGAGCTGCTCTGCAACAGTAAAGTATGTGTTTCTGGAGCAGAAGATTTGGGGTTTTGGCTGGAATAATCTTCTCCATAGTGGCTCGTATAGTGCTGTGTTTGGATTTAGAATGAAAATAATTATGATAGCACACTTTTGTTGTAGTTGTTGCTGAGCAGTGCTTACACAGAGCCAAGGACATTTCAGCTCCTCACATCGCCTGGCCAGCAAGGAGCTGAGGGGGCACAGGTTGCTGGGAGGGGACAGAACCAGGACAGCTGACTCTGGCCTACGTGGATGTCCTATAACACGTGGCATCACGTTGAACAACAAAACTGGGGGAACTGGTGGAGCATCAGTTGGCTGGTTGTGAGCAATTGCTTTGCACATCATTTGTTCTGTTCATCCTTTTTGTTCCTATTTTATTTGTTCTGTTTCTAAGCTTTCTCAACCCAAAATTTCCCACACTTTCTAATGTTTTCCCCCATCCCACTGTGGGTGCCCAATATACGAGCCATGTTGCCTCTGGGTAAAACCACACCTGGCTGACACAGACATTGTTTTTAGCTTCCCCAAATGTAGAAGATGTAGAGTACTCCAATCTGTGGTAACTGTGCAGCTTTCTAGTTGGTATTACTTTTGACAGCCACAGGCCACAATTTTTGTGCTGCCTTTGCAAGGTCTCAGCGCTGGAGCTTGTCAGATCTGCTCTGTCTGAAGCTTCTGTGATCTGTCTGGAGACTTTCTACCTCATTAAGCAGTGATAGCAGCTTCTCCGTCTGACCAGGAGAATCTTGTCTACCTCTACTTTGTTTTGCTCTTTATCTTTGTGTGGCACTAGCATAGTTTTATACTGAAAGCAGTAACAAACAGAAAGATATTTACAACTCCAAAAACAGAGATGCAATGTAAAGAAGTACAGACAGCAGAAGACTGGAGAAGTAGAGAGATGGGCCATGACATGGAGGAATGCAAGTGTGGGATGGTAAGAGACGGGATACAGGCTTTACACCAGAATCCCACAGCTATAATGGAATCTCAGTTCACTAATGATCAGTTAAAAATAACTAAAATTAAAATTCTCAGACTGGAATACAACAAAACTGGTTGTAGGGAAAACAAGCAGAACTAGGAAATAACATCTTACAGTATTTACTACCATTTGCATATATGAATTCAGATGTAATCTGAAGCTATGTACTAGTGAAGACAGAGAAAGGTGTAAATATGTGCTAGCAAACATATAGATGTGACTCTAAGTGAAATGGGGAAGCAATGGGAAAAAGAACCCAATCAATGTGGTTATCGTATTTCCCCCTATGAAGGACTCCAGGTGCTGCCCGCTCACTGTAGTATCCCAACACCAGCACAAAACCACCAATGTTAGAACACAGAGGAGAAATAGAAGAGCAAGCATAACAGCAGGAAAGAACAGAGATGCCAAGAAGTGTTAGAATTTAGTTGTTACTGCTATTGTTGTGACTTTGTCTGTATATAAGCACTCTGTTAGTATTATTGTTCTTTGCTTCTCGGTAGTAATTAGATCTAGACTAATAATGATTCTTGTTACTTCTAACATTTCCAGTATAATATGATAAATATACATTTTTATATCGCCCATATATTAGAAAGTGGGTATAAATAATCCCTCTTTGCCCATAAACAAGATTTTGAATGTAGCAGTGTCCCAGCTTGCAGTGCTGTTTGTCCTTGGTGACCCAGCAGGAGTTGGTACCTTTTTCTCTTCTACTACTGGCCAGGAGCTGCAGGAGGCAACTTCTCAGACCACTATATCATGTCTTTCCCCTTGCCTCTCACAAGATCTTGCCCATTCTCCATATAGTCTATAGGAAAAGAACACAAGGATAGAGAAAATGGCCTGAAAGGTATTGGTCTTCCTTCAGTGTTCATAGTATGATTAAGGTTGAAAAAGGCCTTTAAAATCACCTAGGCCAACTCTCAGCCCATCATCACCAAGTTCCTTGGTGCCACATCCACACAGTCCTTGAACGTTTCTAGAGATGGTGACTCCACCACCTTCATGGGCAGACTGTGCCACTGCCTCACTGCTTTTTCTGGAAATAAATGTTCCCTGATATCTAGCCTGAAAAGTAAAGGGGTTGTTGCTCATCAGCAGTATTATTTGCCCTCTGATTCCTCTGCAGGAGAAGGAGAAACCACAGGATGAGGAGGGTAGCAGTGCACTGGAGTGGTTTTGTTACTGGGTTCTGCAAAGCACTGCGAAGAAAATTGGCTAGTGGATGAGGATGTTGAGTGAAACACACATCAGGATATTATTTCCAAGCATGAAAGCATTTTAGTTTCGTTTCTGCTTGTTCACGTCATGTAGGTGGAGTCTGTGCATAGAAAAGCACCCAAAGCAGCTGAATGCAGTTAATTGTTTCTCCTTGCTGCATGACTCTGGCAGGTATGACTTTTCCTTTCCTTTACCTTCTTTTAAAAATAACCATGTGATTTTTAATTGCTATATTTGTTGCTTTTAATAGTTGAAGGTGTCAGCAGCACAATCTGGCCAGCAGTTTGCATGTACAGTGTTATGAGTTTTGCACTGCTATTTTTTTTTCAGATAGTGTTAACAAATGTACAGCCCAGAGGCTGTAGAGATTACACAGATACCTTCTGGTCAGTGTGACAGGTAGAAGTCTGTGTCCCCTTCTGGCTGGACGCAGACTAACACAAGTGATATTTGGGAGACAAAAGGGGGTTGCATGCTCAGCACCGCAGCTTTGTGTCTGGTGGTTGGTTTTGGAGCTACTCCCAGAGCAGTGAAGCCAGGGCTGCCAGAGGAAAGCAAGGCTACTTATTGCCAGGCAGTTTGCAATCCATGCGGCCCCAGCTGGGTCAGGCTGCCCAGAGGTTTCTTGTGGGGTGGCAGGCAGCTGCTGGCACAGAGACTGCAGATGCCTTCAGATACAGTTCAAGGAAAGCAGAATGGCAACAGTGTCACAGCAGCTGTGGTGATGATAGAATGCTTACAGGGAAGAAGTTTTTCCTAATACCCACCCCAAGTAGTTGAATTGTCTTCTGTTGCTGGTCCAAATAAAGCACTTTTCTCACAGTCTATTTTTTGTTGTTGTTTTGGTTAAAGGAGAGAGGAATATTATTATTAATAATAATAATAATAAATTGGAGTAGGAAGTGAGGAATTACTCTTTTTATTTTTATAAACTTGTTTTGCATATTTAAAGTATCATTTATGTTTTATGTGCTCTCCCCATATTGACATCAGCTAAAAGTGCAAAATACTTATTTTTAATTCAACCGAAGAACAAGCTCACTAGTACATGTATCCACTAGGACTAGCAGATATTTTGGTCCCCTAGTCCTAGGTAATTCAGTAAAATCAATCTGCCAATATCCTCTAGGTACCTGTCTCTCTGCTGTTTTTCTGAATTGAATTTTATTCTCTGTTTTCAGATTGGTTTGTTTGTTTTGCACTGTATTTCACACCTTTCAGGTGTGAACAGGTGGGGGAAAAGTGATTTTAGTTTGCTTTTGTTACACTATATTACAGGAATTGCATTAATCTCCCTGTGCTTAGTTTGCTTTGTCCTTGACAATAACTGGTGAGTCATCTCCTTGTCCTTATCTCAATCTTGGAGCCTTTTTTCGTCATGTTTTCTCCCCCAGTTCTGTTGAGGAGAGGGAATGAGAGAGTGGCGTGGTGGAGCTGAGCTAGCCATTGTTGTGAAACCACTGCGTCCACCCTGTCCAAAAAATTTCTTGTTTAGTCTCCATAAGAGAGACTGAGAATACTTTGGGAATATCCTGTGTCAAATTCTTTTTTGGGGAACACAAAAAAGGTTTAAGTGACGTCATGGGAAGTGTTTCAAGTCTTTCCTCTGGAGATCAATCTTAATAATTTGAGAAGAATTTGGGTTCTTGATCTCTGTTAAGGGCTTGAACCAGGAGGTAGAAACATTGTTCTGATTTTTCTCTACTATGGTTAATGTTGATTTCAGAGTCTGCCAAGAGTGGTTGGTATTGACAGTAATCACTGCTCGGTGCAGTACATACGGACAAGCCATAGAGCAAGCCAGAAGAACAGCAGAACATGAATGGTGCAAAGTTCAACTTCAACACACCTTTTGGATGTACCAATCAGATCCCAAACTCCAACACACCTTTCGGATGTGCCAGTCAGATCCCAAACTCCAACACACCTTTTGGATGTACCAATCAGATCCCAAACTCCAACACACCTTTCGGATGTGCCAATCAGATCCCAAAGCAGGATAGTAACAAACCACCTTCCTTACGTTTCATTTTTGGGTTATCTCCACCACCGCCACCAGACTGTAGCAATCAGATGGCTTCCTGTGTACCAGAACTGACTGACAGAAAGCCTGGGCATGAGCAGGAAGTGTCCGAGAAGCAGAATGACAGTGAAGAGGACAAGGATGAGGTAAGGCAGGTGGCAGAGAAAAGCACAGATACTCTCCAAACTCACCCGTGTTTTACATTGCGACTCAAAATGAATTCCTCTGTCTCTTTGGGGACTTGTTAGGTCGAAGGAGAGGAGAATTTTTAGGATCAGTGTCAAGAAGTCATTTGCATAGCTAGGAAGATGTGTGCCTACTGTTAATCTGCTGGCATAAAAACTGCTCATGTGATAAACAGCATGGCAGCAGCCTAGCAGCCAGTGTAACCTGTAATAAATATCTAATTCATTAGGAACAATTAGCAAACACCAGTAAATGGGAATCCTAAAATCTGGGATATTTTTTAACTTACTGTTTTTACTTTACTTACTTTACTTACTGTTACCTTCAACGGAAACATAAAGAAACTTTACTAATAATCTGTGTTGTATATTTAACACACAGAGATTATCATAGAATCATTAAGGTTGGAAAAGACCTCTGAGATCATCCAGCCCAACCATCCACCTACCCCAACATTGCCCACCAAACCATGTGCCTAAGTAATACATCTATACCCTTTCCTTAAATACTTCCAGAGACAGTGACTCCACCACCTCCCTGGGCAGTCTTTGCCAATGCCTCACCATGCTTTTTGAGAAGAAATATTTCCTAACATCCAATCTGACCCTCCTCTGGTGAGGCCATTCCCTCTCATTCTATCACTATTACCTAGGAGTAGAGGCTGGGCTCCACCTTACCAACTTACCCCACCCTCCTGTCAGGTGGCTGTAGTGAGAAATAAGGTCTCCCCTGAGCTTCCTCTTCTCCAGGCTTAACAATCCCAGTTCCCTCTGCTGCTCTCCACAAGGTCTGTGCTCCAGACCCCTCACAAGCTTTGAGTCTGTGTTAATGGGGTTTCTTGAGAATGGCTGGGATTTACTAGGCAGTAAACACTGTGATAAAGGTAGTATGAAAGAGTTATCAATTATCAAAGTATCGAGGTGTTTTAAAACGCCTGCTGGCAGAGATGTGTACTATCTTTTTTATCTTGAAAGAAAAAATTGTTTTGTTTTTTTTTTTTTATTATATCTGACAGAAATATTTTCATAGGTGACTCTTAGACAGAACTGATGGTGGTGGCCAGCTAGAATCTGGCAAAGAAAGATGTGAACTACAGATTTTAGCTATGTATGGAGGTTGGTGGCCCTGCATGTGGCAGGGGGGTTGGAGATTCATGATCCTTGAGGTCTCTTCCAACCGAGGCCATTCTGTGATTGAGGGCACTACAGCAGAATGATTTGGCGATTGATTACCAACTAGATCTTCAAACTTCAAAAAACATCTAATGAACTTTCTGTACTAAATTATCTCATCGCTGTGGCCAGTCTCTATTTACGTGTGTGTCCTTCCATGCATCTGTATGAGTGAAAGAAAATGACAGTTATTAAAAATACATATATTCAAAGCACATTTAGTGTTGAGGTCTCTTTTTACTTTTCACCTTTCAGGATAGCTTAGAAAATTGACTATTTTTACCAAGGTTGTTTTAGTCACTGAGCCAATCTCAATAGAGTTAATCATAGGTATATCCATCTGTTTATAGCATGAAAGTGCAAGGATGCACAGTGACATGAAGTACAGGCTGGTGCTTGTACATGAGGTTTACTAGAGAATGAAGAGCTGGAAAAGCTGCCTAGAAAGTGTTTTATAATTGTTTTGGATGGGTGGGTTGTTTTGATATTTATTTTTTTGTTTCTGGAAGCAGCTTATTTTAAAATTACCTTCAAATTAATTGTAAGTTTGACTCCAACAGGCAGCAGAATACACCTTGCACGACCAATATGACAAAAAGATCCGACCTTGTATTGACCTTGTCGACAGCCTGAGAATGCTTGGTATAGGAAACGACCTGACGTTGCCTGCGATTGCACTGATTGGAGACCAGAACTCTGGGAAAAGCTCTGTCCTTGAAGCTTTATCTGGCGTTTCTCTTCTTACGGACAGTGGTATGAATTCACCTTCTCCGATTTTCATCTGAATTTGACACTGGTGAAGTAGAAGGGATTTATTTTTTTTTCCCCCTGGTGCTTAGGAGTAGATAACATTATGACTGAAGCTATACCTAAATCATGGGACTCCAGAAGCCTTCCTATCTCTGGTTTCTAGTAGAAGAAATGGATATGCAGGTGGGACACTTCAGTGTCAGTCCAACAGGTTGCACAGTCTGGGTGGACAAGGGAGGAGAAATAAGAAGTATATAATGTGACATACTTGCTCCAAGTTGTAGGCAGGCAGAAAGGCAGCAGCATCAGCTAACTCTTTGTATTCCCCAGCAAAATGTATTGATTCCATATGCAAGATTAGTTTTGAAATTTGTTTCTGCATTGCTCTTTTTAGATCAAAATTTTCTTACAGAAATGTTTGTTTTTGGCAGAAAATGTACAAAGATATTTGCTTACAGACACGTGCCTTGAATGTTAGATTGTTCAAAGACTGTATTTACAGCTCAGGACAATTCATTTTCTACGTGTTTTCACGTGTATGTACATGTATATCCACACACCCAAGTTCCGTGAGTTCTGTATTGGTTGGCAGTACCTGAGCACCTTTAGGCTTTCAGTCTGGACCTCAAGTCCAGGAATAGGGTTGCCTTCATAAGATGTAGATGCAGTGACCTGCACTAAAGCAGGTCACTCGGAGAAGAATAAATCTCCATTCTTGGAGGCCTGCAAGGTAAAATTGTCTGGCCAAGCCATGGTTGACCTCACATAGTCCTGCTGACACAGAGAAGGAAGTCAGATGAGAGCCCTTTGACTCTTCAAACTTTTATGTGCCTTTCCATGTAGTATTAGGCAACCCTGCACACATCACCCAGTCCATTCACACAGTCTATTGTACATAACAACTGTGTTACCTATGTCTTTGGTGCTACTGCAGATGTCATTACTCGCTGTCCTCTGGAACTCAAAATGAAAAAAATAACACCGCCATCAGAATGGAAAGGAGTAATTTATTACAGCAACATGGAAATACAACTCCAGAATGCCTCAGAGGTGAAGGAAGCAATAAGAAAAGGTAAGTTGTGTATTGCCCTTGCTCAATCTTGTTTGAATTCTTTCTCTCCTTTTCTTAGGCTGAGAAACAGTCCTCAGACTAACACATGGGATTACAGCCACCAAGAACTGAATGTAGAACTTAAGAAGATGAGGCATTGCAAGAGAGTTGTGCTAATTTGGGGAATGACCTGCTGGAGGGGAGCTCTGCGGAGAGGGACCTGGGTGTCCTGGTGGACGACAGGTTGGCCATGAGCCAGCAGTGTGCCCTTGTGGCCAAAAAGGCCAATGGCATCCTGGGGTGCATTAAAAAGAGCGTGGCCAGCAGGTCGAGGGAGGTGATCCTCCCCCTCTACTCTGCCCTGGTAAGGCCTCATCTGGAGTACAGTGTGCAGTTCTGGGCTCCCCAGTACAAAAAAGACAGGGATCTCTTGGAAAGAGTCCAGCGGAGGGCCGCAAAGATGGTGAAGGGCCTGGAGCATCTCTCCTACGAGGAAAGGCTGAGTGAACTGGGTCTGTTCAGCCTTGAGAAAAGAAGACTGAGAGGGGACCTGATCCAGGTCTATAAGTATCCAAGGTGTGGGGGGCAGAATGGCGAGGCCGGACTCTTTTCAGTGGTGAGTGGAGACAGGACAAGGGGAAACGGCCGGAAACAGCAGCATAGGAAGTTCTGCACAAATGTGCACAAGAACTTCTTTACAGTGAGGTGACGGAGCACTGGAACAGGCTGCCCAGGGAGGTGGTGGAGTCTCCTTCTCTGGAGATGTTCAAGACCTGCCTGGATCCTACCTGTGTGACCTGTTGTAGGGAACCTGCTTTGGCAGGGGGGTTGGACTTGATGATCTCTGGAGGTCCCTTCCAACCCCTACAATTCTGTGATTCTGTAATTATTGCTTCAGTGAAGAGGATGGTCCACAATATCTGACAAAAGCTCAGGCTGTGTGCTCAGCTGGATGCTATTTGTCTTGTTAGGGAAGTTTGTCAAGCTGTAAGCATGCAAAGCCCTCAGTGGTTCATGGTGTCAGCTCAAATGCTCAGAAAATGCATGTAGTGTCTATGGCAGGAAAGCCTATGATTTTTGAGAAAATTGAAAGATGGCAGAGAGGACGGCATACAGAGCTTCTGTCAGTTGTGACCATGGCCTAATGCACTGCCATGTGACAGCTTTACTTTTATGGTATTTCATGCAGTACAAGAAAATATTTTGTTACCCAAAGTGTAGTAAGCACTTGCCCTAAATGTGAAAGTGATTTTGTTCTTATTTCCTTGGTTAGGACAGCTCTACAACATTGCTATTCATCATATTCATCATGAGTACTCTGTTCAGTTTTGGGACCCTCACTAAAAGAAAGACACTGAGACCATGGAACATGTCTAGAAAAAGGCAACAAAACAGTGAAGGGCCTGGAGCACAAGTCTGATGGGGAGCAGCTGAGAGAACTGGGATTGTTCAGTCTGGAGGAGGCTCAGGGGAGACCTTATCACTCTCTGCAACCACCTAAAAGGAGGTTGTAGTGAGGTAGGGGTTGGCCACTTCTCCCAGGTAACAGTGATAGGATGAGAGGGAATAGTCTCAAGTTGCACTGGGGAGGTACAGGTTGGATATTAGGAAATAGTTCTTCTCAGAAAGAGTGGTGAAAGAGAGGCATTGGAGTTACCATTCCTGGAGGTGTTTAAGGTAAGGGTATAGATGTAATACTTAGGCACATGGTTTAGTGGGCAGTACTGGTGTAGGTGAATGGTTGGACTAAATGATCTTACAGGTCTTCTTCAACTTTAATGATTCTATTATAATGTTCCTTCGTTAGTTTTTCAATATAGTTTTCAACATACCCTTCACAAACTGCAAAGAAACTGGTATGATTTGAGTAGGCCAATTACATAGCTGATAGAATCTCTCATGAATATTATAATGGAGTTTTCTCTCTCCACATGGTGTTGTTGGTTCCATCATGATTGCCGATACACAACCTGGGGAAAAATGGTTTATCTGTCAACCTCACTATCAATGCAAGGAGAATATAGAGTAACACCTATTGGTCTTTAAAGGCAGCTAAAAATTAAAGTCTACAGAGTACCTTGATGCTGAGGAATAATTTCTGCAGCTGACCAATACTTTATCCCCTTGCTCTTGTGATGTTTTATTTATGTGTATTTTGTGTATGTGTATGACAATCCATTAGTATATGCTCTGTAAAATACGGCAGTTTCCACTCCACAAAAATTATCATGTGAAATCCCCTTGGTTTTTTGCAGAAATGGATTTACATTAATGTCTAGGTCTGAAAAAAAGCCACGCCTAAAAGAAATTTAGGTGATAGTAGATATTTTTTGGAGTCATCATATTCCCACTTCACCTACACTTCAATGCAGACTTCGAAGCCTGTATTCATTGCTTTCCTCTTTCCACCTTGCAGCCCAAGATACAGTGGCTGGCACTGATGGTAACATTAGTGGAGAACTAATTTCCCTTGAAATCTGGTCCCCGGATGTCCCAGACCTGACACTAATTGATCTTCCTGGAATTGCCAGACTGGCCATGGGGAACCAGCCACAAGACAATGGCCAACAGGTAACAGTTTCATCTGCCAACTTATGCAAAGGTTCTCTTCTGTAGCCTATCTTACATGCAAATCTTTGCTGTAGGAGTCTGGAATTATTATGCTGGGCTTCTGAGCCATTATGAGAGCTACACTAGCAAACAGATCTGTTTTTTGGCAAGGCAGTGCTGATAGGAACAGTGAGGACTAAGACCTCCTGTCTTTCTTTGTGCAGGAGGGAGCTGCCCATGCTGGCATAGGTGAGCCATCCCAGGCACCTGCCAGAGCAGCAGGGAAGAACACAGCTGCACTGACCCTGTTTTGCAGATAGATGGTCTCCAACACAGCAATGTCTCCATGCCCATAGGCTTGAACACAGGCTGGAGTGTAGATAAATCCCAAACAGTTTGCGTTTTCTCAGTATTGTGGAGATGCTTGGCAAAAGTGAAATGTCTGAGTTCTTGTAAGCTCTTCTAGAGCAAGAAGGCAGATCAGCACTTTTACTAACTCAATGCTCTGTCATCCTTTGCTGACAGTGTACATGTGAAGGGAACCAATTGTCATTTTTTTTTCTCATCCCTTACAGTATTTCAGCAGGCCCATTCTGAAGTGAACAGTATCTGCATTAAAGGATATCTGTATGCTTCCCCTGGTGGCTTTTAGAAGAAATGCTGGGCAATGCAAATAAAACTCCAAGAGATAGGGCCAGCTGTGAGGGTGGTGCACTGGAGTTGGCTATACTGTACTATACTATAGTCTGGCTTTCATTCCAGAAGTGTGTTACTAGGCATCAGAACTCATTTTTCTTTTGACATTATTTATGAAAATCATATTTCCCTAAACAAAGATGTTATCCCCAAGAGTTTAAATTTTACTTAGAAGCAGATGTTAAATTTTATGTAATTTAAATGATTTTTTCATGACAGATATAACAGTAGTCCGTACTTGTTCACATTAAATGTTTGGGTTTATCCTTCTGTAGGAAAAGAGACTACACTATTTTCTTAACCCATTTCCATGCCATTCTTTAACATTTAATGGTACCCACAGTATATGTGATGTATCATGTGGTGGCTTGTACTGCTAGGAGTGGTCGCATCCTACATGCCAGCATTTGATTTCATTGAACTCTTTACTACTGTATTACATTTCAGATCAAAATGCTACTTAAAAAATATATTGGCTGCAAAGAGACAATCATTTTGGTAGTGGTACCATGCAATGTGGATATTGCAACAACAGAAGCTCTGAAAATGGCTAAGGAAGTGGACCCCACAGGAGAAAGGACACTTGGTGAGAATTTTTTTAAGCTGAAAGTGTGAATCATTTATTTCCACGAACGTCTGATTTGTGTTCTTCATGCTAAATCTTCAAAGTTTTAGTTCAAAGCTACTAAAAGAAGAAATAAGCAGACTAAATAAACCCTTTACAAAGCTGGAAGTGATCTACTAGCTCTTAAAATATCTCAAATTTGAGTCTAGCTGGCATTCACATTGTGAATGAAAATCGAAAATCTCAGAGTTAGTGCTGGGAAAGTCTTGTTGCTCTCTGTTGAAAAGGTTTGCAAGGCAAAAGATGGACTGAGAGTCCAACTGCAGAGTGAGTTTTACAGTGCAAAGCCCAGGAGCTGAAAGCTTTCTAGGAGAGAAAACAAAACAAAGTGCAGTTAATGTAAAACAAAACAAAACAAACACCGTAGGGAACGTTTCCACTCTTACTGTGAGATGTCCTACTGCACCTCTTCCATCTTCAACTTCGGTGCTTGACTAACTTTCTCTTTGGGTAACTTCACAGGGATCCTTACTAAACCAGATCTGGTGGACAAAGGAACCGAAGAGGCTGTCCTTAAGATAATGCGAAATGAAGTCATCCCACTCAGAAAAGGTTATATGATTGTGAAGTGTCATGGGCAACAGGACATCAATGACAATCTGTCCTTGGCTTCTGCAATCCAGCAAGAGAGACAGTTCTTCGAGACTCACAAACATTTCAGGTACTTCTCACAGAAAGGACCTAACCCAAAATATACTGAAATCACTTCAAATCATGTAGCAAAAGGATGAAGGGAAATGGCTTTAAACTGGAAGAGGTTGTGGATGCCCGCTCCCTGGAGACATTCAAGGCCAGGCTGAATGGGGCTTTGAGCAACCTGGTCTAGAGCAAAGTGTCCCTGCCTGTAGCAGGGAAGTTGGAACTAAATGTTCTTAAAGATTCCTTCCAACCCAAACCATTCCATGATTCTCTAAGAGCAACAAACCTTGCTGGTAAAGGGGCTAGAAAGCAAGTGTTATAATGAAAGGCTGAGGGAACTGATGTTATTTAATCTGGAGAAGGCTGAGGGGAAAATCTCATCACTCTCTACAACTACCTTGGAAGAAGTTTGCAACAAGGAGAAGGGGACTGGTCTCTTCTCTCTGGTGACGAGTGATAGGATGCTAGGAAAAGGCCTCATGTTGTACAAAGGAGGTTTAGATTAAATATTAGAAAGATATTTTGGTCAAGCATTGGAGTAAACTGCCCAGGGAAGTGGAGGAGTCCCCATCACTGGAGGAATTTAAGACATATGTGGATGCTGCACTGAGGGATATAGCAATGGGGCAGGGGTTGATAGGCAGGCTTACATTTGGACTTGATGATCTTGAGGGTCTTTTCCAACCCAGATGATTCTGTGATTCTAAAAGCATTAGCCTCAGAAGACCAGAATAGTCCTAATGAAGACAAGGTAAGCATATGAACCCTTCCAGTTAAGTGCTGAAGTATTGCTATTCACTGGAAAACACCATAAAACTCAGCATAAGAAAGCACACAGTCTATGCTGAAGACACAGGTTTTCCCATAAGGTGTCTTAGCAGCAAATCAATCACTGAGAATAATAGGTGAGAAGTATTTTGAATTGGCATACTTCCCACAAGCAGAAATAACATAGAAGGTTTTTTGATGTTTTTGTTTGTTTGTTTGTTTTCAGCATTCTTCTGGATGAAAATAAGGCTACTATCCCTCATCTGGCAAATAAGCTTACCAATGAACTTGTGGGACATATTGCTGTAAGTAATGGAGATGCCATGCTAAGAAATATGCATCAGTTACTATCTTAAAAAAAAAAAAAAAAAAAAAAAAAAAAAAAAAAAAAAAAAAAAA